TCTTCCAAAAGGGTCAGCCCCCTCGGGGCTGTTTGGCCCCCCTCTCTCTCTCAGAGAGAGGGGGGCCTAGAAAAAAAAAAGAAAGAAAAAAAAGACGTATTATGAACTTATTATTATATATCATGTTAAACTTAAATAGAAGTAATTTTCAAGCACATCCTTTTCATTTAGTATCTCCTTCTCCATGACCTTTATATACATCAATTAGCTTATTAAGCCTTACTACATCTGCAGTTTTATCATTTCATGGGTTTGCTTATGCAGAATACAATTTAATGATGAGTTTAATATCATTAATATTAGCTATGTCATTCTGATGAAGAGATGTAATAGCAGAGGGTAAACTGAACCTAGTAGGTAAAACACTTTTTAATTATAATTTGAATATAGCTAAAGCTATTCCTGTTGAGGATCTAAAAAAATCTCTTAATGATTATAAAGTTAAGAATAATATTGAAGTGTTTAAAAATAATAACAACTTAGGTCACTATTTAGCAGGTTTATTAGAGCACAAAAAACCAGGATGGTTAAAATTTTCTATTTTTAAATCTATAAATCCTTTACCTGTTACAGTGCTTTTTACAAGTAAAAGAAATAAAAGTACTTATAGGCCAGAAAATTCTTGTACGGCTTTAGTAGTTTGAGGGGTAAATCTCTACTCTGGCTTTAGAACACTAAAATTATCCAATGTGGAGTTACATATGTTTAAACTGCCAAATTATCAACAAGGTGTTCTAGTCGGTTTATTGTTATCTGATGGCTGATTGTCTTATGCTAGTGCCAACAATAAGTATCCTCGTTTTGGTTTCGAACAAGCTTTTACTCAATCTTCTTATGTATGGTCAGTTTTTGGTATATTCTCTCATTACTGCTATAGTTTACCTAGATTTAAAACTAAAAATAGAAATAATATACAAACTAGTTCTGTAACTTTTGCTACTCGTAGTATGCCTTGTTTAGTAGAGTTTTTTAATGATTTTTACCTTAACGGAAAAAAAATTGTCCCTGAGAATATTTATCGTATATTAGCTCCTGTTTCTCTAGCTCATCTTATTATGGCTGACGGTACTGCTGTATCTGGTGGTATAAGAATTTGTACTGATTCTTTTACTGTGCAAGATGTAGTTAGATTAGTTAATGTGTTAATCATTAAATACAGACTTAAATGTACATTACATATGGTGGATAACAAACCTAGAATATTTATTAGTTCAAAGTCTATGGATTTATTGTCATCCATTATAAATCCCTACATTGTACCTAGTATGAAGTATAAATTAATAACACAATCTAGCATATCTAGCCAAATAAAAAAGTAAGAGAGTTTGAGCCTTTGCAAGATATTTCATCTACAAGGGCTATATGTATAAAAAACCTTCCCTCTACAGCTGTTTTTTGTTATAAAGAACCTCTAAAAGAAATTTGTATTAAGCACGCAATACCTCCGTACTTGTATAGCATTTTTATTGGTTTACTCTTATCAGAAGGTTGAGCCAATATTCACCGTAAAACAAATTCAAAAGCACGTATTAAATTCTGTCAACCTTATGTTAATAAGGAATATATTTATTACGTGTTTAGAGAAATTTATATGTATTGTGAAAAAGACCCTTACCGTTTTAATAATAACCTGAAAGGTAAACCAGTAGATGTTATGTTAATATCTACAAAATGGTTGTTCTGTTTTATTGAAATTTATTCTATGTTTTATATCAAAAATGTAAAAAGGGTGCCTTGCAATATATATGATCTATTGACACCTTTTGTTTTAGCTCATTGAGTAATGGGTAGTGGTATAAGCTTACAAGGAAGAGGAATAAAACTCTATACTAATTTTAACAACATATTCGATTCCGTTAAATTAATAAATGTATTAATGATCAAATATAGATTACGTTGTAATTTAATACTAGAAAAAGATAAACACAGTATATATATTTATCGTTCTTCATTAAATACTTTATTAATGAGTATAAAACCTTATATGTTACCTTCTATAATTAAAAAAATTATCTAATATACATATTTATATCCTCTGGGTCATATTTCTCTTCCGTCTTTAGGTGTTACAACGTTAAATAGAGTATTAAATCCTAGAATAGTATTTACTTCACATATTAATAATTTGGGTATGTATGCCTTTATTCAATCAGAATTAGGTAATATAGGGCGTTTCCAAGCTTCAGGCAATAACGCTATTCGTTATATTATAGGAGATATAAAAGGTATTATGCTTTTTATTAATTTAATGCACGGTAAACTTAGAACACCTAAAAATATAAGGTTTAATGATTTAATTAAATTTATGAATGCTAAATATTCTTTGGATACACCAGAAAGTTTATTTGATAACTCTAATCTTTTTGGTAATAGTTGATTTACAGGTTTTACGGAGTCTGACGGACATTTTGGAATTAAGTATCTAGAAAGAAAAACTAAATCAGATACTCGTAAAAGATCTGTTAGTGAAAGTGTTACTCTTAAATTTATTTTGAATCAGCGTTTATTTGATAAACCGACATCTTCTTCTATGAAACCTTTTATGCAAGATTTAGCCTTATTTTTATCTTGTAATCTTAAAAGTTATACTAATAATACAAACTCAGAAATATTAACTGTAAGTGTATCATCTTTAGAAAGTGTAAAATTTCTTGTTAATTATTTTAATAAATACCCGTTAATAGGGGATAAATTAAATGATTTTAAGAAATGAGAAATTGTTTATAATATGCTTATCAAAAAAGAACATCTTACCGATGAAGGAAGATTAAAAATTAGATCTTTAATAGCCCCGGGCGCCGTCTAGACGGCTGGGGCTGCGGAGCTGGAAAATTATAAAAAAAAACAGTATTTGCTTTATTATGTGCCCTCTTTAAATTTTACTGTATGCTGAAAGTTTCTATCAGAAAAGAATAGAATAATCAGCAGGAAACCAAAAGACGGATAAATATCTTAGTAGAATCCTCAGAGACTACACGTAAAAAGTTAATACGTTAATTGTAATTTAGTTAACCCATTAACTATGATATAGTCCAACCAACGTGGAGGCACGTTGGGTAATTTCGACATATATAGGTCATCACACCTTGGCTGTCCAAAGAGGGTTAAATCTTGGTGTTGGTTTATTTATAGTATCTGAAGCTTTATTCTTCTTAGCTATATTCTGAGCATTTTTCCATAGACTAAGCACTTTGTGGATAGGAACCAAATTCCGGGAAAACCCTAAAGCTCTAATAACTAATCTTCATAAGGAAACTTATAAAGTGGCCCCATTAATGTCTGAGGGTACAGTAACATCATTAGAGATTCTTGATACAAATCAAGGAATGGGCAATCGCGGATCTAAATCAGATAGTCTTATATCTGTAAAAGAGCAACGAGTAGACGGTTCCTCAGTATTTTTTAAATACTGTAAGGTATACTCTAGGTGCCTGAGAAATTGGGTTTTTATACAATGAATAAAATATGTTAATACTCTTTTTGAATCTATACAAAGATTCTATACTAAAATTTCTTATTCTACCCTTTGGGAATGGTCCCCTTCAAGGGCCAGACCTAAAGGTCAGTCCCCCTCGGGTACTAGTAAAGCAATGTCTTCTAACTTTAATTATGCTTCCACTAATGGCTTAAATCCTTATTATGTAACTGGTTTTACTGACGGGGAAGGATGTTTTTATGTAGGTGTTAGTTCTAACCCTAGATATAAAATGGCCTATAGAGTAAAAGCTGTTTTTCATATTGGTGTACACATAAGGGATCTTGCCTTATTAGAACAAATTCAATTGTTTTTTGGTGTAGGTACAATATCTATATTAGGAGCGGAATCTGTTCAATTTAGAGTATCTGGTTTTGAAAACTTAAAAGTTATTATGGATCATTTTGATAAATACCCTTTATTAACCAATAAACAATCTGACTATCTACTTTTTAAGCAAGTAGTAAATGATATGGAACAAGGAAGACATTTAACTGTACAAGGTTTAAATAAAATCATGTCAATTAAAGCTGTTATGAACAATAAAGGAATGTCAGACAGCTTAAATCTAGCTTTCCCTGATATAGAGCCTATTTTAAGACCAGATATTAAAGATAGAAATATAAAAAGTCTACACTGGTTAGCTGGTTTCACTGATGCTGAAGGATGTTTCTTTATAGCATTAAAAAAATCTCCAGAATCTAAGTTAGGGGAAACTGTATGATTGAGATTTATTTTAACTCAACATGTTAGAGATGAAGAGTTCCTAAAAAGTTTAATTTCAACTTTAAATTGTGGTAGATATATACCTAAATCAGGTTATGGTGAATTTATAGTTGAAAAATTTACAGATGTTTTTGATAAAGTGATACCCATTTTTGAAAAATTTAAATTACATGGTGTAAAATCCAAGAATTATGAGGATTTCAAAAAAGCGGCTTTGCTTATTAAAAATAAACAACACTTAACTCGAGAGGGCCTAGACCAAATTAAGAAAATAAAAGGAAGTATGAATAAAAATAGAAAATATTAACATAGTCTTGTATAAAATTAAAAATTTAAAAACTTATCATGTTCTTTTCTATAAACAAAGCAACAAATAGTTTTTTAAAACGAGTGCTCTTTCACCTGCAGTAGAGTTAGGTGCTACATGACCTCCTTTAGGAATTGAAGCTATTGATCCTTTTGAATTACCGTTAATAAATACAGTGCTTTTATTGGCTTCAGGGTTTACTGTTACATATGCACATCATTATTTAATTAACGGAAAAAGAGCTAAAGCTTTAAATGGTTTAGCATATACTATTATATTAGCAACTATATTCACAGCACTACAAGGTGTTGAATATTCAGTATCATCATTCACTATTTCAGATGGAGCTTTTGGATCATGTTTCTACTTTGGAACAGGGTTAATTATAGCCCCTACTAAAAATAGTATATATATAAAAAAAGGTATATCTTATTCAAATAAATCTAACAAAATGGATCCTAATTGAATAACAGGGTTTTGCGACGCTTTCACAAAAGGAGTTAAACATTTTAGTAATAAGCGAAGTTTTACTAATAACCAGTTAAGCTTAGTAGTATGGGGAATAAACTTAAATTCTTCCGTAGGTAATGGTAGAATTACAAACCAAGAAAATAGTATGATAAAATTGCCACTGTATCAAAAGAGCGTTATCATTGGATTGCTTTTATCTGATGGTTGACTTATATTCCCATCTAAAAAAAGTAATTATGTACGATTAGGATTTAAGCAATCATTATCTCATAATATTTATGTTTGATTTGTATTTAATATTTTATCTCATTATTGTAATACAGGTCCAAAATTAACAACTAGTGTAAGAGTAGATAAGATAAATTATGCTTTAGGGTTTTTTACCCGTTCTCTTACTTGTTTTACTGAATTACATTCTCTATTTTACCCTAAAGGTGTAAAAGTAATACCTCAAAACATATATGATCTATTAACACCCGTTGCTCTGGCTCATCTAATAATGGGGGATGGTCAAGCGTTACACCATGGTCTTATTTTATGTACTAATTGTTACTCAATACAAGATGTTGTCAGATTGATGAATGTATTAATGGTAAGATATGGGTTTGAATGTACAATATTTTTAAAAAAACGAAATAAAAAAGTTGAGTACATGATTTATATAAGACAAAATTCTATGTCTTTACTGCGAACTATAGTAAAACCTTATTTATGCTCTTCAATGTTATATAAATTAGATAATTCAAAGGTTTACTCTACAACTAAGTGTTCTGTTATAAAAGAATTTAAACAAAAAAGATTATACTCCACTATTAATAGACCAAAACGGGCTAATCCTTACTGAGTTACAGGGTTGGCGGATTCGAAGTCTAGCTTTTCCATAAGAGTTGGAAAAGACGAAAGTAGATTTAAAAATATACGTATCGCACCCATCTTTTCCATAGAACTACATGAAAAAGATTATAATTTATTGAAAGAAATTAAAAATTTCTTTGTAGTAGGTACTATCATTAAGAGAATAAAAAAAGGGAGTCCAACAGCAATATATTCAGTACAATCTATTAGTGCGTTAAAAGACGTAATTTTACCTCATTTTAATCAATATAATTTATTAACACAAAAAAAAGAAGATTTTCGTTTATTCTCATTAGTAGTACATATGCTTTACGATAATCAGCATAAGAATGAAGAAGGTTTAAACAAGATATTATCATACAAAGCTTCTATGGGTAAAGGATTGTCAAAAACTTTACTAAGTATATTTCCTGGTATACAGCCCACAGTAAGAAACCTAGTTTTACCTACAAAAGATTTTAATCCTTTTTGAGTAGCTGGGTTTG